TGAATGAAATTGTCTCATGAAAAATCCCGAAAAACATGCAAAATGCATGAGTTTAAGCCTATATGCAATATACTTTTATGAAATAAAGCTACAAAATGTGTACATGAAATGCACCTAACAGAGTGGGAGGGTTCAAATATATATGTTGTAAGAAAAAAATCTTTATAAGATATAATAGATAATATAAATTTTATATAAACTTTATTTGCTTAGTAAATAGAACTATTGAATGCCGTAAACATAATTAAATCTTTTTTGTTGTAAAAAACAAACTTGATAGTTCATCTTGTAAAGTTTCATATTTGGTTTATGCCAACAATTTGATACATAAATATATTATTTTAATATTTAAAATATAAATATAAATACATGTTAATCAATATCAAATAAGTAAATATCTAAATTTCAAACATCCAACACCAATAGGTGAAGCCGCGAAGGACCCTTTGGCTATCAAAAGGTACATTGACTATTATAATTTGTTAAACAATATCTATCATAATTTGTGTGTCAAATTTGTATATTAAAAGGTATATTGACTATTGTTAATTTATTTTATTATATTGAAAAGAAAAAAAAAAAAAAAAAAAACAAGTCCAAAAAGTTCACTATCCATACTTGTCGTCAATAATAATAGCAAAATAAACAACTTCGTTTTCATTTTCATAGAATTTGTGGGGTACACCCAAGAAAAAGAAATGGTTGACCCACAAAAATTGACCATGAACTTGATCCACATGTTTTAGACTTATAATTTTAAAATAGAATATCAAGAAAGAAGGTCAACCAATAGTTTTATAATATATAAGACTATAACATCTTTCATTAAATAAAATTATATTTAAACAATCTTCAACACACTGCTACTACGCGAGTTCTACACCTCCTTTGAATACTCCTCATCCTTCTTAACTAACAACCACAATCATCTCCGATTTATACGCACACCCATAAGATCCTTCTTATATACGCACACCCATAAGAGCCTTCTTATCTTCTCATATCTCCATGATTACTGCACGATTTACAAATCCCAGATATCTCCATCTTCATCTTTGCCGACTTTATATTACAAGATTACACCTTTCCTGTTCTTTCTACATGTTTACCTGTTAAAAGATGCAGCAGAATTGTCGTCAAATTGTCCCCTCCATGGATTCCCACTATCGGTCCCACTGGAAGCTTGATTGGGCATCCGTAGATTTCCCAAATCACCATCTAAACTCATCTGCTGTACTTCAGAATACGATAGTATCTTTATGCTTTGCACACAGCTCACAAATTCCCTATTGTCATTTACAAAAACCGAACTCAGAAAAATGAAATTTAAACAAAAAAAAAAACTCAGATCTTTTCGTTTAAACACTTACTCCCATGGGTCATCACCAACAAGCAATATGTCATTCTCATGATCAACATAAACAAGCTTCCAGTCAACCCTTTGAGAATTTTCTAGTTGACCTTGTATCCCAAACATACAAGCAAGATCATGTCTCAGCTCTTCATACCCCTTGTAACATGTCACATCGATTGTTCTTCCTACAGACCCTCGTTTTTGGACCTAATTAAAAACAATAAAGATTAATCGACTTTACAATAGATATGTTGATATGTTAACATGTTTATGTTATTACCTTTGTGTATGTTCTCATGCGTTGTTGACTCTGATTATTACCCCACACCCCATTCCCTAAAACACCGGAATCCTTAATGTCATTTGAACAATCTTGTTTGAAAGACATATCAGGCATCCCAAATGACTCTGGACTTATCATTAAGTTTTGAGAATGATCAAAACCTCTTGATAACAAAGCATCAGGTGGCAAGATATTGATATTAGCCCCAAAAGAAAGATCACTTTCACTTCTATCATGTGAGTGAATAACATCACCTTCAAGACACAAGTTTGGGATTGAGAAGTTTTGAGGAAGATCACCAGCATCCAAACAGTATGATGTTATAGATGTTGTAGGTTCTTGTGTTTCAGTAGCAATGGATTTGTATTTAGGTTGTGGCAATTCTTGTTTGATTCTTGCATCGGATTTACTTTGAGTTTGAAGATCATGAATGTTCTTGATTTGATAGTTTGATGGAGTTACTTGGCAGGTATTTGTTGAAGGTGATGTGGAACACGAGGGAGGATTGGAATCAGTGATTCCAGGGTTAACCCTTATTGGCATCGGTGGTTTATATAGACTTTGTAAACAGTTACTACTAATTTGTTGTAGTTGTTGCTGTTCCATTTGATGTTGAAACTGTGACTCATGTGGCATGGATGATGATAAAGGTTGAAATGAAGTCTTATTGGCTTGATGTGGTTGTGTGTTTCCTGAAATTTGTTGTTGTTGTAGGTGATTGTATATAGAATTCTGTTGTTGTTGTTGAGGCCATGGAGGTGATAAATGTTGGTTTGTTTTGGGGGATTGAAAGCTTAATAACTTGGAATTATCTTCAAAGTTTAGAGAATTTTGAGAAACATTAGAAGGGAATCGATGATTCTGCTGCATGTTCATCCACTGAACTAAACTCAAACCTGGGAAGATTGAGCCTGAGGCATCCTTCATATTCATACCAACATCTTCAATCCATGGCATTGGCATCCCTCTTTTATAACCATTCTCTAACTCCATATCACCATCTGCAACAACACTGTTAGATTTTAGAGAACAAAATAACATCTTCTACAATACAAAGGAAGACAAGTCACCTTGTTGTTGAGAAAACTTCTGTCTGAAAAATGGAGGTGGACACATGTAAAATGGAGTCACAACAGGCTCAATCTCCCATACTGAAACCCTACTTGGACGCTCACCAGCTGCTGACTCATCCCATCCCACCTGTCATTTTTATAAAATCATTATAAAGATCAATATTATATTGTATATAAAATCTATACCTGAAGACTACGCCATTGTGAAGTCTTCCACCTAACAGAATCCATATCACTAACACCAGTTATTGTTCCCATGTATCTTCTCACTCCAGACTCTTCAGTCTCAAACATCATTCTGAATCTCATTCCCAATGAAACTTGAGTATACATTGCTTTATTGTACTTTGCTAATGGTATCACAAACTCAGCAGGACTTGCCCTAGGATTGTAGTAGATAGTGAAAGGGCTGTTATTAGCAGCAGCATGAGCAGCAGCAGCAAGGATTCCAATGTGCATACTGTCACTTGATATAACTGATGAGGATAAAGCAGGTTGTTGTCTGTTAGCATGTCTTATTCCTAACAGAAGCTGTGATTTCTCATCTCTTATGAAGAGGACAGCATCGCCAGCTAAGAGCCTTTTAGAGCTTACAAATGTGCTCCACCCTGTTGTTAGTAGATGCCTCTTTGGTTGACCTGAGATTGAAGATGATTATATATATTATAAAGTGTTTAAGAAGAAAAATATATGAGTAGATAGTTATTAATTAATTACCTCGATAAATATGTCTGAATGTCCAAGATTGATCATGTAGATCTCTAGCTACCAACTCCTGAGCTGGAGGTTGCATTGAGAAATCCTATGATTTTTACAAAATGTTTTTCTTTTTTTTATGGTAAACTATGGAAGATTCTAGAACATAATGATTGAAACACATATATATATATATATATATATATATATATATATATATATATATATATATATATATATATG